TATATATATATATATATATATATATATATATATATATATATAGTTCCCATATGAACAGACCTTTCCGTGCAGATCTGCATCACAACGTGTTTAGAAATACACCATGGTGTAGTGAATTTTTGTGCTATATTTGTGCATTTCACTCTGGTTCATTTATACATACTTGGTGGTGCAGATTCGCATGTCCGTACAGAAAAGTCTGTCTGCGTTTAATCCATCCAATATGTGTGTGTGTATATATATATATATATATATATATATATATATATATATATCATACACGTGTACTATGTAACTCTGCCTAAAGTTTTTCATAGGCATCATGGAATCAATGCATGGTCTTGTGAATCCTAGCTACACCGACACATTAATTGAATTATTTATTTATACATTATTAATGCTCATAGATACAAAAATAAAAAATAAGAAAATAAAGGACGTGGAATTAAAATTCTATGGAAAAATAATTATTAGGAAGATGAATTTCATTATTTGGTTGGTGGAAAAAGAATTACTATGAATACTATTTCTGTTGTTTGGTTAGATTTGAAATTGTAAGGACTAATGAGTATAAAGACCTATATGCCCATATAAATTAATAAGAGTAATATAATTAAAAAAAACAAGGGTAAAATAGACAATCCATATCACTTTTTCTTCCCATCTTCCATGGAAAACAAAATCCTTGGTGTTGGTTTTAGGGTTTTTGGACCCAGGGAGGTCCAACACAACCTTGGTCGGTGGATTCACCTTTCACAAGCAACTTATAGAAAAACAAGTAGAACGAATATGACTCAATGCTTTGGGCGGTGCCAAACCAAGACTTTCACTATTCTTGTAGCTATTGGTACATGATATATGGCTATTTTTTACATGTAATATAGAAATATTGTGTAGGGAGAGAGCTATACTTTGTAAATTGAGAGATGGAGTATGCTTCTTGATGGAATGGTGGTGGAGTCTTCTCATATGGAGTCCTCTTCATGCGTGGAAGAGTGGTGGAGTCTTCTAGTGTGTAGGAATAGTACTTGGGAGAGTCCCCACATGTGTGGATGAATAAATGGCCCCCTCATTGTGCTCTTCTTCTCCTTTTTATAGCTAGCTACTCCAAAAAGTGTCCGTTGGACCATTTAGTATGATATTGATGGGTAGTAAATGGTAGGTTATGATGAGGTAAGTAAATATGTGTTTTAATAGGACTTTAAGGGTAGATAATTAGGGGGTTAGGAATTGAGGGGTAATAATTAGGAGTTTAATAGGGGCTAACGGCTAGTTTTAGGCAGACCTTCTACCTGTGCCGATTCCACACTCGCGTCGACTCCCAAGTCGAGCCGACTCCTCGCTTTGGCCCATATCTCTTTTGGGCTTACTCCATTTTCCTCTTGGGTTTCTCTTCTTCTTCTTGGGCTTGATCTCTTTTCTTCTTGGGCCCCGAGCCCACGGGGTTCACACCCCATCACTTGGTCCAACCAAGGATTTTGTTTTCCTCAAATTTGAGGAATTCATTTTCCAATGGAAAATAAATTCCATTAACAAACACCAGAAAACAACATTTTCCTCCATTTTAAGGAAAATATTTTCCTTTGGAAAACATTTTCCATGAACCAAACATCCCCTTAGAGGTAACAATAAATTCAATACGCCAATCTTTTTTTTAAACCACGAAATGTCTTGAGTAAACCGTTACTATTGACTATACTCAAACAAAATGCCAATCAGAGCCGGCCTTGAGGGCGGGCGAGATGGGCACCCGCCTTGGGCCCAAAGTTGGCAAGCATTTCATGTGAAGCATCATTTGGTTTAAGTGGTTGATTGTGATCTTTGATATGCATTTTCTTTAGTTATAGCCGGCTTGGTAATATAGTTAGATTATCAGTTAATTTTAACTTGTTTAATCACTATTAACTGTTTAACTTGGTTAAACAATCAATATGAGTATTTGGTTTATTAACTTTTTGTAACAGCTTATTACTCTAAAACGCTAAAATTCAAAAAGATGTTCAAAACAGTTTTTTCGATCAATTTTTTTAGAAAAATAAATTATACCGTTAAAGATCATTTTGTATGTAATCAATTATCAGTTAACAGCTAATTTACCAAATATTTTTCTACAACCAACTAATGCTATCAAGTATCAAACTATTCAAACCCGCTAACAGTTAACAGCTAACAACTATTTTCCAACGGAAATTTAGATATTTTTTATGTAGTCGCGTATTTTTTTATATATTTATAATAGAATAAAAAATATGTGACAATTGGTGACAGAATTGATCATTTAACATATAGTTAATGAAATAACATAAAAATAGATTGTGAAATGGTGACTGTAAAATACATAATTTAATTTAGTATTTTAAAATATTTAATATTTTCTCCAATAAATAAAAAATATAGATCGTATAATTCAATTGAAAAAAATATAGATCGTATAATTCAATACTTATGGAATACATTAGTAAGTTGCAGGGAGGGAATAAATATCATATGAAATATAGGATAAGAAATCAATGAATTTACATATAAATAAAATCATTTTGTTTCAAAATGGCAAAATGGTAATGTCATTCAATGTACAATATTACCTCCAAGATAGTTTACCCTCCAAAAATAATAATTTCAACACTGAAATTTTGTTTTTGTTTTTTTATATATGCAGTAGAAAATAAAGTTAATTAGTTCAGACAAATATATACTTGAATCCAATATATATTATTTTTTTTCTTCTTTTAAAACTTTTTTTTTGGCATTTTAAAATTTCTTTTTGTTTTGGGTCTCATTTTTCCATAGATGATTGGGCTTTGGGCCGAGATTGGGCTTCTTCTAGCAAAAGAAGACTTCAACGCTGGAGCTTCTAAAGCTAAGGCAAAGTGGGCAAGCCTGAGCGGCGGCGTCGCAGCGGCGGCACAGGCAGAGATGCCGGCACGGCAACAGAACCACCGACGCCGCTCGCTTCCCGCACGCCCGGCAATTGGAGCCGGCGGAGACTTCGACTCGGTCGGGGTCAATGTAGGCGGACTCGGCGTCCTCCGCTTCGCCGGCGGCGGTGCCGCCGTCGTTCCTCTCCGGCGGATGGTGAGCGGTGCTGCACCCTGGCCTTGCCATCGCCTGCTGCAGCTGCGCCTGCAGCGTCGCCGCCGTCAACTCCTGTGCCCTAGCCCTGGCCTGCCACGCCTGCGCCTCGGCTACGAGTTGCGCCGCCCGCGCCTCTAGCTCGACATTACGCCGGGCGGCCTTATCAACCTCCGTCTCTTTCTCCCTCAGCCGCCGCGTCAACGACTCCTCCGCCGCTCCCAGCAGCGCACGGTAGTGCCTCTGCCGCTTCTCCTCCAATGTCCGCCTCAATTGCTCGCCCTAATTCAATTCAACACACAATCAATCAATCAATCAAGCAAAATTGAAGAAAATCCCCCACACAATCAATCAAAAAAAAAAACCTAACCTGAGCTCGGAGATAATGTTCGATTTCATCACGCTGCTGCTTGATATGAGTCCCCAAATCCTCAGCCAAAACCGAGAAGAAAACCGAAGATTGCGAGGATTGAGGAGAAAGCGAGTGGTGGTTGTGTTGCCGGTGGTCGGTGAAGGCCAATCGGAGGCCGGTGGACACAACATTCGGGTGCAGCTGCGTGAGATCGATAAGCTGAGACGGCTGAGATTGCAACGAAATCAATGGCGGATTCGGATTCGGATTCGGATTAGGGTTACTCATCGCCGCCGCAGTAGTACTACTGGTATGCTCTCTCCCCCTCTTTCTCGAATTCGCATCAACTATAATCACCAACAAACAAACAAAAACTTAGAGATTTTGAGAATCCCAAACAAAATCCGCAATAAGCGATAGAAACATGAACTAATTTCTGACCTCCGTGATTGAACAGCATTTCCGTTTCATCAATAAACGTTCCCCCACCAGCACCGCCGCCGCCGCCGCCGGAATAAGGGTGCAGCAAGGAGTAATCGTTCCCCAGCGGAGGAGCCGCCGCCTTACCGTCCTGACCCCCACTTCTGCAAGGAGAAATCCAAATCAAAACCCAGAAAACAAAAAAGAAAAATCAGTATTGAGAGAGGGAAACAGCACCTGTTTAAGAAGAGAACATTAGAAGGGTGGTGTTGAGCTTGAACCGCCATTGCCAAATGCTAAGAAAGGATATATATGGGATTGGGAATAGAATTGAAGGAATGGGAGGTGAATAGAGGTGTGAATAGTTAAGGGATACACATAAACAGCATGAATCACACACAAATCTTTATTGGTTTCCAGAGAGAGAAACTATAGTTGCAGAAGAAGAAAGGAATGGGTATATATATATATAGATATAGATATATATGTAGTGAGTGAGTGAATGAATGAATGAATCTTTTGAGTCAAATGGGAAAACCAGAAAGTGTCACCACCACCATTAACAACACCATTCCAGCTGCTTCTCACCTAAAAACACACCCAAAATCTTCCCTTATTTTCGCCTTTTCTTTCTCTTTGCTTCCTTCCAGAGAGAGAGAGAGAGAGAGAGAGATGAAATGAGTCCAAGAAAAGAACAGAGAGATGAAAGAGAGAGGGGACTGCCTTTTATTCTTCTTCTTCTTCTTCTTCTTCTTCTTCTTCTTCTTCTTCTTCTTCTTCTGCTTTCCCGTGGCTTTGGCTTTTCTTTATGGAAACTCCTCCGGGGCTCTCGTGTTTCTTTATCAACCCTTCACCCCCTTCAATTTTCTTTTTCTTTTTCACTTGTTTTAAGGAAACAAATAAAATAAAAAGGAAAATTACATTTTAGGCCATTCAGTTATGCCCGTAGTACAAACTTAATTCCCGAGTTATATGTGTGTGACTAATTTTTTTTTTTTTTAATCCCTAGGTTATATAAAAAGTGGTGATTTTAGTCTTCCGGGACTATTTCTACCACTAATTAGAGGTTAAAATGGTAATGCATATAACTTAGGAACTAAGTCTATGGTGAGGTTAAAATGGTAACGCATATAACTTGGGAAGTAAGTCTGTACCACGGGTATAACTGAAAGAACGAAAAATAATTTTTCTTAAAATAAATAAATACTTCATCTATCCCATTTTGTTTGTTATGTTTCTTATTTATTGGTCAAATTAATTATTTTTTCATTGCTTATTTTTTTAAGTAATTTTTAATTATATTATATTATATTTTTTTTTTGTTTAATAATTTTTTAATGTAATTTCTAAATATATAAATTTTATATCTTAATATTATGAAAATTTGAATTAAAAATAATTTTATCCAAACCTTGTTAATTGAATCTGACAAGTAAAATAGGGAGGATGGTGTTTTTTATTTTTATTTTTATTTTTTTGAAAAGAGGGTGTAGTTTTTCTAATATTATTTTCCTGTGTTTTCTTCACCATTTTATTTTATCCATACACATAATACATATACATACATTAATACATACAGACGCAGTTGTTGGGTGTGCAGAAGGTGTCTCTTTGCCGTTACCGCTCCCGCTGGGATTGTTTTTATATGGCCCATCCCACCAAGGGTTTGTTTGAGATAACGGCGAGATTGGAACGATTCAATCACACCGTTTTTATTCAATTCTAACCTTTTTTTTTTTACGATATCAATCATAATTAATTAAAACCGTCTTTAGAAAGTGATGTTTTTTTTCCCTACTATAGATATCACCCCTACTATATTTTCTCGGCTAATTTTTTTTTTATTATTACACCCTAACAGTCAAACATATGTATATTATCTTTCCCGCACGAACTTAATTCAAGAGTTCAGTAAATAGTATTTGGGAGAAAAGAGTAAGGTTCGAATTTCGACGGCAACAGTGTAGAGACTGTGATTACATCCTTCCGAATGCTCTGTCGGACTGAGGTGTAGAGGGCCCTTGGAATTGAGGATTTAATCTTTTGAAAGAAATATCTATCCAGCAATTATGTCAACTTTGAATTGGGATGAGATTCGAACTTGTGGCCTCCTGTATGAGAAGGGACAGTGATGCCATTCATTCATTCATTTTATGCTCTAATAGTAGATACATTGAGAACATGAAACCTTTTCTATTTTTTTTGCTAATAATTTATTTATTCATTCATTTTTATGCTCTAATAGTAGATACGCTAACAACATTAAACTCCAATTAATTCAAAATTATGTTATTGTATATAGTAGATTATTCTTGAAACTTATAGATTTTTTAATCGAGGACGGAAGGATGTGTTCCGACTCCTCATAACTGTAGATTGATTATCTTTTTCATAAGCCCTAAACAACCCATGAACCATATTTTATCAAATTAAAAAACGTGTTGTATTTTGACTAAAAATTTAAACTGATAATTAAATTGTATATTTTTAACTGATAATTAAATTGTATATTTATTATTTATATATATTATGCATGCTCGAAATGATCATACTCAAATCCAAAACTATGATAAAAGGATTGAGTTGGTTTCCACCTGAACCATTAAGTGATCGGTTGCATATATAGAAAAAAATTGAAAATGAAAGATAAATCTTTGTTTCTTTTTAAATTACTTTATTTATTTATAGTAAATTGGGAAGTTTTGTACTCTTCTCTTGGTAAACGAAAAATGGCCAATGAATTGAAAGACAAAAAGTGTCCTTGTTTGGTTAGAAGGGAGTGATGGGTTTGTTTCCTAATTTAAATGTATATTATATACCCGGTAAAGATGATGTATTTTCCATGTAATAAAGATTAAAATTGACCCTAATTAAAGATTCCAAAAATAATGTTACCACTAATCAGAGATTTGAAATGTGTCTAGACACATCAAATCACTGTAATTAAATACTTTGAAAGAGATTAAGATGATTAGCAGCCACATGATGCAATTTAATGCCTTCTTAATCAAGAATCATAGCCTGCCATATGTCCATCTAATCTTCTTCTTGCACTTATTTTGAATCCCAAATTACAATGGCTCCCCACACATATGTGACAATACACTTTTAATCTTTTTTTTTTATTATTAGAACATCTTCATTTAGTCTTAATATTATTGTGGCATAATCATTTTTAGTCCGCCATCAATAAAATCATTGAAATATCGTTAAATACAAAGACATTGTAATTTTTTTTTTTTATATATACAAAGTAGGCACAACCGCTATATTTTTAATGTTTTTTTTTTTGAAAACATCCATAATTATATTGAAGATCAAAATGTTTTTGTATTTAACGATATTTAGCCTATTTTATTAATAAAGGACCAAAAATGGTCATGTCACAATAATATTAGGACCAAAAGTGGATATTCTAATAAAAAAAGACTTAAAGTGGACTGTGACCTATAAATCTAGGACAAAAAATGAAATTAACTCATAAAAAAATATACAAATTTTAAAAGTACACTATGCAAAACTAAAAATGTATATGTTCTTCATTTCCAATTGTACATATATATGATATGTTTTTTTAGTACATATTTGCATGTCATTGAATCAACTATGGGGGTATTTGACAAATAGTTGTTACCTGATAGCTGATAGCTGATAGCGGATTGACTTAGCTAATACGTGTTAGTAGATTGGGTTAGTAAGTTTAACTAGCTGATAGCATCAGCTAGTTGTAGAAAGATATTTGGTAAATTAGTTGTTAGCTGATAGCTAATTATATGCAAAATGATCTTTTAAGGGTATGAGTGTTTTATGTTATTTAATCTATTATTATTATTATTATTATTATTATTATTATTATTATAGAATTTATATTTAAAAAATAAACATATGTTCACGAGCGAACACTAATCAGTAATCACATGTCCTGTTGCTAATTACCTTTACGATACTAGGCAACGGGCTTATGAACCAATCGATGGGCTCAAGCACCCTACTGCCTAGTACCGTGAAGAGACAATGAAAGTAACGGGACTATCAAACCCATCTAAACAGTTTTGTAGTTTTTTTATTTTTAATTATTGGGGGTGTTTTAGAGAAAATAATTTATTTTCTCAAAAGGCTGATTGAAAAAGTTTTCTTTGAGTAACTTTTTGAATTTTAGCGTTTTAGAACAATAAGTTATTTGAGGATAAGTTATTTTACTATACATGGCCTATATAATTTTGCCTGTTACGTTGCAGACCTTATAAACTTCTTACATGAATGCCACAAACACTTTTAGATCCCTATACTATAGTACTCCGTAGTGAATTTATGTACCTACAATAATAAATTTATGTACTCAGAATATTGAATTTATACATTTAGAGTAGTCAATTTGTGTAATTACAGTAGTGATTTTTATAAACTAAATTTGTGTACGTAAAATAATGAGTTTTAATGTACATATATATAGATTTATTTTTAAAATTTGAGAAAAGATATCAATACGTGTGTTATTTAAAAGATTCCAATTATATCTTTTTAATGATACGGAGTAATTTTTATACATCAACTTTAATTGTACAAAAAGAAAAATAAAAAATTAAAGAAGTAAAATTTTTGAACCAAGATTTACAATATAACTACTACTTGTGTAAATAATGTATAGAGTTAAATGTCCTTGTGCGCAGTAAACAAATGTCTAGTCTCTGTGGTTCATGTTCAGTTGAGTTACCATAATTTACATCCTCCCAAATGCTCTGTCGAGCCGGGGTGTAGGGGGCTCTTAGGGTTGAGGTTCAGCCTTTTGGACAGAATGTATAGAGTTAAATGTATATTTTATCTTGAAACTGATTTACCAAACATATTTCTACAATCAGCTAATGTTATCAACTAGTCAAACTCACTAACTCAAACAGCTAACAACTATTTACCAAACACCAAATTTATCTTGAAATTGAAACATCAAGTAGCATTTCTAAACTCAAAACTTTCATATACCAAAAGAAAAAGAAATGGAAATCTATTTTTGAATGTATTAGAACCAAATCATGCATGTTTTACTTTAGGTTTTCAAGATTCAAACTCTTTCATAACTGCTACTATTCATCACCTTCCTTTACAAAATAAAGCAACATATGACCGACCGGACTGCCTCTAACCTAAATTACATGCTTTTTGTGTTTGATCAAACTTCTCAACGACAATGTCAAATGACGCTCATACCCCTCCATCTAACTTCTCCATTACACCTTCTATTTCGCATTTTTCACCCTTCTCCTAAAAACTGCTCACTGAACCATTGAGCTAATCTCGTGCGGGCTTGCATTTTTCAGCCTCAATTGCTACTTGCTAGGGGTGGGCACGGGAATTTTTTGTATTCGGTAATACTTCTAGTGGGATTCGAACCCCACCGCCTCCAGTCACGACTTTTAAATTAGGCAATGATCCAGGAAACATGTATAGTAAAAAGACTCAAGGATGATAGAAGGTCTGGATTGGATCTATTGTGCACATATTAAGACTAGGATCTGACCGGTTGATTGATTGTGCAACTTGCAATCAGGGCCGGATTTTAGGTTTGTGTGGCCCTGTTCTGGTAAATAATTGAGGCCCTTCAAAATCTGAATTTTTAAAAATAACATATGGGAGTTTCGAACCTTTGACCTCCAAGTTAAAATACAATATATACACATTTTTACCATCTCTTCATAGAACCTTTTTAAATTAATTGTAAACTTTTAATTTTTATTCTAAACAAGCTAGGTAAATATTAAATATTGGACCTCTAAAATTTGGGGCCCCTCTAAAATTGGGGGCCCTGTGCGGT